TTATCACCTACCACTTCTCACATATTAATATTATAAAGTACCTTAAGCACTTTGGAAACCCAATATTATGCATAAGTCACAAGATAATATTTGTCGAGATTTTTATCCTGAAGGGGGAAAAAAATCTTAGGAGTTCAGATAAGAATGTATTTTAAAATGATTTAAATTGTTCCTTTCTTCCGTTTCTTTGGTTTTCCCTGCTTTTTTTTTTTTTCTATTTTTCCATCTTTGCTACAGAATTTTCCCCTTCCATGTAAACATAACCCCACATGCATATACACACACCAAAAGTGCCTTTCTCCCTTTAAACAAAAACAAGCAAAAACACACTGTCACCTAGTCAATTCCAACTCATAGTGACCCTATAGGATGGAGTAGAATTGCCCCACAGGGTTTCCAAGGCTGCAAATCTTTATAGAAGCATACTGACTCATCTTTCTCCTACTGAGTGGCTGGTGGGTTTGAACTGCTGATCTTTTGTTTGTTATTGTTGTTATGTGCCATCAAGTTGGACCCAACTCATAGTGACCCCTCCTTGGGTTTCCAAGGCAGTATCACTACGGAAGTAGATTGCCCAACCTTCCTTCTGAGGAGTAGCTGGTGGATTTGAACTGCCAGCCTTTTGGTTAGCAGTCAGGTGTCTTAGGCACTATGCTACCAGAGCTCCTGATCTTTTGGTTAGCAGCCACATATTTTAACCACTGTACCACCAGAGCTCCTTTTTTGCCCTTAGTCTTTCTAAATTCTTTTACATATTCATTTTTCTTACATATTTTTTTTTATTCATATGGACAAGAACTACTGTGCTTTTCCCTTTGAGTTTACTAATCTGGTTAGATAAAAGGGTAAATTTTTCAGAACCATAATTTCTTTTCCTTTTCTATTATTTTATTTTATTTGTGGTAAATATATCAACTCACTGCCATCAGGTCATTTCCAACTCATAATGACTCCCCTTGGGTTTCCGAGGCTGTAAATCTTTATGGAAGTAGATCGTCCAGTCTTTCTTCTGTGGAGCCAGTGGGTTTGAACCACTGACCTTTTGGTTAGCAGTCAAGTCCCTTATCAATACATCACCAGAGTTCCCTAGGTTCCACTGCCGTGGAGTCAGATCCCACTCATAGAGACCCCCTTCCTTGGGTTTCCAAGGCAGTAGCACTACGGAAGTAGATTGTGCAAACTTCCTTCCAGGGAGTAGCTGGTGGGTTCGAACCGCCAGCCTTCTTGTTAGCAGCCAAATGCCTTAGGCACTACACTACCAGAGCCCACATATATGCATACAGACATATACACACACACACACACACACACACATATTTATTCATCTACATGTATAATTCAGTGACATTTGTTGCATTCTTTTTATTGTGTCTTCATTCTCGCTATATCTACCCAAATTATTTCACAACTACTCATCCATGATTTAGAAGTACTGTTATCAATGCTATTTTACATAGATAATTCTTTAAATGAGCTCAATTCTCAAGGTAATTTTTTTTTACTAATTGAACTTTTTTTTTTTTTTTTTTTTAAAGATGATTTCAGGGGATAGTTTTGGTCCATGGTTTAAAAGTTAACACAGGGCAATAGATGCATGGGTTCCTCCAATCTCAATGAGCCATGTAAAACTGGATTTCACAGAAATTTAAAATTCTGTTCCTCATTTTCCCCTTTTGGCAGAACCATATTTTCTTAAAGAAAAAATGATCTGTAAATTCAGTATTAGATGGGAGTCCCAAAGGACATTTGACAGCAGACAATTTTATTGAGCTTTTATGTTTTCCACATAGGATTCCTGGACACGTTTCGAGGAAAACTGACAGATGTATGTGACAAGTCGATTCTAAGAAGACATTTTTAATCATTTTCTTTCAATTAGTTCAATAATTCTTAAATGACATTATTCTGTACTATCTCATTAGTAAAGAATTTTAAATTATTTTAATACAGGGATCACCATTTGATAAATGCAGAAATTTTAAAGATAACAGGTATTTTTTTATATATATTATTTTGTCATTTGAAAAATGTTATGTAATAGAGATAAGTTTGCTTCTTCCTTCTAGAAATCTCCTAAGGACTACTGAAATGTAGGCTAAGGTGAGAAGTTCCCTGTGCTGCTATTTAAAATTGTATAATACAAAGCTCTGGTTTTAAGAGAAATATCTGAATTTAAGGACCTAATTTTGGTAAAACAAGTAAAGCGTCAAAAAAAAGGGGGTAGGGGTTGTTGTTGTTGTTGTTACATGCCATCGAGTCAGACCCGACACATAGCGACCCCTCCTTGGGTTTCCATAGTATCACTATGGAAGTAGATTGCCCCATCTTCCTTCTGAGGAGTGGCTGGTGGGTTTGAACCACCAGCCTTCTGGTTAGCAGTCAAGTGCCTTA